CAAGCCTGAAGAAAAAGTTTCTTATTGGTCACTGATGTAAGGAGGAAGTGTAGATTTCCTGGAGTAAGACATGATGTCACAGGCTGTGCTCCTCAACAATGTATGGGAAGGGCGGTTATTAGAGGGCCTCTTGGATATGTGTGCCTGACACAATGGTAAGCCACAAAACAGCTGCCTGACCTAACTGGAACTCAGCATGATTCACTGGATAGTCAAGAACCCCCGAATTTTACTTTTAGGCCATCAGATGTTTGTGTTATATGGTAGTTAGGGATAAAATTCAGCTTGCTTCTTGTTGTTGGTATATGTCATCAAGTCGACTATGACTCATAGCAACAATAGCTCTGAACCCTTCTCTATCCTCAGCCAATCTCACTATCTGACACACCTACCCTCATTAGCCCAGTTATTTTGTCAATCCATGTTGTCCAGGGTCTTCCTCTCCTTTGCTGTCCCTCCACCCTTCCAAGCATGACGTCCTTCTCCAAAGACTGGTCATTCTGGCTACATGTCCAATGTATAAGACACACTCTCAAAATCCTTTCCTCCAAGGAGCAGCTTGGTCTCACCTTCTCCAGGACAGATATATTAGTTCTCTTGGTAGTCCATTTTATGTTCAAAACCCTTCTCCAGCTTCATAACTCAAAGGCCTCAACTCTTCTATCTTCCTTGGTCATTGTCCAGTGCTCTGATGCAAAGCAAATAACTGTGAGGATTAGGGACTGGATCAGGTGGACCTTAGTCTATAGATTGACATTCTTGGTCTTCAGCACTCTGGAGAGGTCCTTAACAGCAGATTTCCCTAATGTAGTTTGTCTTTTTATTTTCTGACTGTTGGAGTATTTGACTGTGGAGCTGAGCTTGTGATAATTGCTAACAACCTCAATCTGTTCTCTATCTATCATGGTGCTGCCAATTGGCCCAGTAGTGAGAATCTTTGTCTTCTTGATGTTGAGCTCCAATCCATATTACTACAGTCCTTAACCCTCTGCAGCAGATGCTTCAGGTCCTCCTCAGTTTTGGCAAGTAAGGTTGTATTATCTGCATGACACATGTTGTTGATGAGTCTTCCTCCAATCCTGATACCATATTCTTCCTCATAAAGTCCAGCCTCTTGAATGATCTCTCCTGCATACAGATTGAAAAGTTACAGAGACAAGGTGCATTCCTGACACAGTCCTTTCCTTATTTTGAACCTTGCTGCATTTCCTCGCTCTGTTCTAATGACTGCCTCCTGGTCCAAGTGTAAGTGTTGCATGAGGATAATCAGGTGTTCTTGGATTCCCATCCTTCTCAAGGTTAGCCATGATTTCTTGTGATCCACACAATTAAATGCCTTTGCATAGTCAATGAAACACAGATAGACATTCCTCTGGTAATTTCTGCTTTCAGCCAAGATCTATCTTACATTGGCAATTATGTCCCTAGTACCACAGACAGCATTTTAATTCTTAAGATGGTTTCAAGGTTCTAAGTAATGTAGGTGAAGCTCTAGCCAACAATATGATTTCCTTTTACTTTTAAAAAACCACTCAAAACAGATATTGAACTTGAGTTACTTTTAAAAGTGTCTTTCTAACCCCCTTACTGTTAAATGTAAAAATATTTGTTGTTGTTGTTATGTTTTATCCAGTCAGAACCAATTCATAGCTGACCCTCCAGTAGGCTTTCAGAGGCAGTAAATGGCACAGGAGGAGATGTAGCCATAGCCACTTTTATTAAAGTCTGTATAATTAAGAACAGCATCATTTTTCCCTCCTGGAAATGGCCTACAGTTGACTTTGCTGCCTTAAAGAAACCATGTCCCCCAATCTCAATGTGGGAACTCAAAAGTAAGATAATGTTCTGAATTATCGTTCCAACCTCTAGACCTGAGAGAGAGAGAGAGAGAGAGAGAGAGAGAGAATTTTTACATTTTTGTAGGCTAATTCATTACAATGAAATTCCAGACATTTTTTTTCCAGGCTTAAGGACTCATATTGAGGCACTTAATTTACTGCCTTAAATAGTAATTATTTTGTCACTCCAGGAGTTCATTTGCAGTGTTTGTTCTTTTATTAAGTGTATTGCAGTGTTCTACTGCCAAAATTTTAAGCATCTAGATAAAAGAATAACAAATAGAACTTAAAAAAAAAAGGAGACAGATTTCTTTGTTCTTTTGGCAGTTCATGGGATAGTCACTATTCTTTGAGAGAACCACAATTTAAAGGCAGTCTTCTTCAATCTTCCTTATTTAATGCCCCACCACATGATGTACAGAAAGCAACTGTAAAATGACTGCCTTGCTCTTTAGCACTTTGGAGAAGTCCCTGACAGCAGATTTTCTCAATGCAACACATCTTTTGATTTCTTGATTGCTGCTATCACGGGTGTTGATTGTGGATCCAAGTTAAGGTTAAACTGTTGACAACTTCAATCTTTTTTCCATCTATCAAGATGTTGCCTGTTGGTTCAGTGGTGAGGATTTTGTTTTCTTGATGTTGAGGTGTCATCTATAGTGCAGACTGTAGTCGGTGATCATCTTCAGTAAGTGTTTCAAGTATTCCTCACTTTCAACAAGCAAAGTTGTATCCCTGCATGATGCAGGTTGTTGATGGGCCTTCTGCAATTATGATGCCCCATTCTTCTTTATATAATTCTTCTTGAATTATATGCTCCGCATATAAACTTAGTAAGTATGGCAAAGTTATGGCACTATTATAAGCTAAGGAAAGGTTTACACAGAGAATCATTACTGGATAATTAACAGAGATGAGAAGAGAGAGAGGGGAATAAAATTAATAAATAGTTAATAAATATTTATAAAGTGTGATGTGAAACGTAGTATAAGTTGAGGACCAGACATAGTAGGTACTGTAACAGAGAAACCAGTATGTTTTATAAATTATCATTTAAATCACAAGAAAAAACCAAAAGAATACTCCATATGTTCAAAAAAGTTAAA